TTGCATCGGATTGTCAAGGTGACGCCGCGAAACGCCCCGCCGCAACCCGTCCGCCCGCGCTCATGGACCACCTGTCTCCCCAATCCATGAGAAACGCTTGATGGTCGCGGTCTTCCGCTTGAGACGATCCGTCACTTCGTCGTCCGCCGCCATTGCGTCGGGGAAGTACTGCCCGGCGCGAGACCAGTGTACCTCGCTCTGTCCCTTGGCCCTGTTCGCCAGCTTCGGCCTGCGCCTATAGCCCCGCCTCGACTGCTCGCTCTTAAGTCTTGAAGATCGAGTAGAAGCGACGTCACGAGAGCGCGGCAGTCTGCGCATTCATTAAGGCGTCATGTTCACCACAGGCTATCATCCAGTCCACGAAAACGGCCCCGAGCATGCATACCTCCGACTGCATAGAGCAAGTCTGGAGCTCCTTGCCGCGCAACCACTCCTCGCGATCGATAATCGCGCCCCGCCCAGTCTAGCACATACGCGCCAACGCGGCTGGTGCGACGCGAATCCGTATCCCTCCGGCCAGGGCTCCTTCGACATCACGGTGCGAGTTCAAAACAGCGAGCGGCCCCTCAGTAGAGTTCTGCGCCTCAGCCTCCAACTGGGCCAGAGTCTCCTGCACATCCGACACGCCATGTGGTGACATCTTCTCCCAGTTCGTCGGCGACGTGGGTCCGTTAGTCCTACAAGTCGCGTTGGTGCCCGCCGTGGAATCATCCATGACGACCTCCTTGTGCTCATGCAACTTCCTGAAGAAATCGTCACAGGAGGGCCCGTCGGAATATTCGCGCCCTCGGCACCGACGATATCGGAGTTGTTCGTGCGCGGCCGTTCCTTCATCATGTCGACCAGGGATGTCGCCGAAGCCTAAAGCAACTGTAGCCCACGAGCGCGCTCGGCGAACAGGCTGCGTCAATCGCAGCCGTCGTCGGACCGATGCTTCCATAACGACGTCTTCGTCTGAAGCCTCGCTCGCCGCGCCGCTGCCGTTCCCAAGCAACCAGCGCCACGATGAGGATCACGCCCCTTAGATGAGGCTGACGCGTTCCAACCCACGACCAGCACCAATCAGCAAGCTTTCCATCTCGCCGCTTCCGCACATGTCCTCTGCCATCTCATAGCGCCGATCAGAATACTCCGCTGTTTCTCCAGCTGCGACGGTGGACTCGTCAACCGACTGAAGCACGGAACCCAGCCCCAGGAGGAGGCCAACGGCCAACGTACCGCGTTCAGAACGTCGGGTCCACATGTAGCTCATCACGACCACGGCGCCACCGCTGAGCCGATGCAACATTTTCCCTGCGCGCGCAAAGGAGGTGCCCCCCAAAAAAGCCAGTCTTGAGTAACATTTCCGCGGCGCGAGCTCAGGAAAAACAGCGGCAGTGAATTCGCCCCGCGGCGCGTCAGCGCGCAACGAAAATGCCGCGAAACTCGGCCCGCAAATGCGAGCGAACGCTGACCAGGAAGTCGAGGAGGAGGAGCGGCAGAGGGGAGGACGGAAGACGAGAAGGAGCGAGAGGAGATGATGCAAATACGGCCCGAATTCGCATCATAGCGAAGCGCGTGGTAGCCCAATATCTGCCGAGCGAAACAAACCACGACCGTCCACAGAACCTACGCCCCGCGAGCGCGGCCGAAATTTGGGGCGGAAATTCGGGCAGTTATTCGCTTTAGCGAGAACTCGCAAGTGCAAATCACACTGCGCGAAATAATAAACTGAATCTGCTGCGCAAAGTGAGAGCCCGAACACGTCGGAAGTGAAACGCGCGCCGGCGAAGGGGGGGGGGGGAGAAAGCTACGAAACCCGCGGCCGCCGCTGGGCGGAGCGCAGCATGGGCTCAAAAGCTGGACAGCCTCGGGCGCCCTCCCGCGGCAGGCCAGGAAGGGCAGCAGCTACAGCCCCGGAGCGCAAAGCGCCACAACGGCCTTCCCCATGGGCACTGCACACCGCGAGCGCGGTGAGCGCTCGCACAAGAGTCGCCTCTTCCGCGCCATTCTCGCCGCGCCGGGAGCGGCGGGAAGGCGCGAGATTCAAGAAACATGCCAATCTGTTCGCGCGCGACGGCCGTGCCAAACCGGCGTGGCGCGAGCAAAACGAATGGTATGACTCACAAATGGCGTAGTGTTCGATGGAGTCCTCTCCGCGGCCGCAGCCGAGCAGGCAACCCGCCCTGCCCTGAAAACGCCGCGCCGCGCACCGCCCATTGGAAGCCGTGCGGGCGAAGGCGGCGCGCAATCGAGGAAGGGCCCGGCGCGCCAGCAGCTGGCATGCTGCACTCATCCGGTCGGTCCGGCGCCGCGGGAAGAAGTCAATGGGCCAATGGGCCGCCCTCCTAATTTGACCCGGGCGTGCACGCGGGCGAGGCTGCCCGCAGGCCTCAGAATCGCCAGCGCCCGGCGCTGCCATGTTCTCCTGCCCTCGTCGTCCATCGGGTCCGCGTCCAGCAACGACGAATCGAGGCTCCGCGCCCGCTCAGCCGCCTCGACCGTGCCCGCCGCCTCCAAGAGCCGAAAGAAGGAACATGAACGGATCCACGATGCCGTCTGTAGAGAAACGTTGTCTGATGAATGTAAACGTTCGAGTAGTCGGCTCGCCTGGTCACGAACATGAAGGCCCCCGCACTGTCTGTCCTCGGACAAGAAAGTCCGGGCCGCCGCGGCCACGGCGCAGAAATCCAGGGGGGCGAACTCGAAATTAAGCCCGAGGTCTTTGAGGTATTGCAAAGCCGGCGCAGACATCCAGCCCCCTGGACCAGAGACCAAGCGAAGCTGCACCTGGGCCTCCAATTGAAGGGCCTGCTCAGGAACCCGCTCAAGTTGAGCCGCGAAAAGAAGCACGCTCAGGACATATGTGCGGTAGGCCGCGGCGGTTAGATAAAGGCCTGCGCCGATCGACCTCCACAGCTCCCCACGTTCCTGGAATTTTCTCACTGGTGCGTCCCATGAGTGTGTCCCGCGGCTGGGCCCGACCTCGTACCCAAGATACCTCGCATGCGACGCGATCTCCAGCTGGCCCCACTCAGGAACAAGCGCCGCGATGGCGGATCGCAGCTCCTCTGTGTCGAAATCGGAGACCGGGGCGACTAGCGTCTTCGCGATATTCAGCCGGAGGCCAGAAATCCGGGCGAACTCCTCGAAGACGGACGCCAAGACAAGGACTGCGTGGAGCCCTCCGTGCAACAGCACCGCCGTATCATCCGCGTACGCGCGGCGCAGAGACCAGCAGAGTCGCCGGACCCGCTCGAGGAGGAGATCGGACGCAGCAGCGAGGAGCAGGGGGGAGAGCGGGCAGCCCTGCCTAGCCCCCCGCGTGTCCACGAAGCCGTCGTCCAGCGCCCCGCTGAAAGCAATCGCGCAGACGTTCCGGTGGGATAAGACGCGAATGTACCGGAGGAGCCAATCGGGCCATCCCGCAAACCGCAACAACTCCAGCAGGAAACCATGCTCCACCGAGGGGAACGCGGCCTCAAAGTCCATGAAGAAAGCGAGGGCATCCGGGCAGTCGATCGCATCAGTACACATAGCTTCCTCCGCGTCAATGACGTTGGATAACATGGACCTGCCTTGCAAGAAACCGCGCTGGTCTCGGGAAGTGCTGGGAGCAAGCGCGGGCTCAAGCATGAGCCGGGCCGCGCTGGCGAGGATCCTGCTGTCTGTGTTGACCACGTTCAGCGGTCGAGTGGCACTCGCACTGTACACCGCGACGCCCTCGTCCGTGGCGCCCACCGCTTTCTTCGGTAGGAGGTGCAACAAGCTCTCGTTGAAATCGAACCCTAAGGCGGCCAGCCCATCCAGCGCGTCGTCCTCGAGGAGCCAATTGAACGCTTCGAATAATACATCCACTGCAAAACCGTCAAAGAGACGCCACATCTTGAAGGGGATGCCGTCTGGGCCACGGGCAGTATTGCCCGTGAGCTTGAGAGCTCGACGGACATGGCGGCGACGGAGCCGGAGGTGGGCGGGAAGGCCCAGCTGAGGGCGCGCGGCGGGGCGTGCCTCTTGGTCCTCCTCGACCCATGTTGTCATTCTGGCTGCTATTTCTCGGTGTGTTGGACTTCTGCGGTTGCTCCGTCTTCGCGCCTTCCCCAGCGCACTACTTCCGATACGCCGCTCCGAAGCAGCCGACGCGCAATCACGACTCGTTGCCCTCAGACCAGGGTGTTCAGACCAGCCCAGCTCCTTGCGAGGATTCGTGGAGATCTTGCTGTTGCAGGCAGGAATCACAAGCTGAACGCGCAACGTCGAGCTGCACACCGTCCATAAGATACGGCTCGCCCGCCAAATTTTGGAGACCAGGAGCATGGCGACACCGTTATTTGAGCCCGTGTTGCTGTAGATCCTGTTCCGCGGCGCCCACGGCGCCATGAAGGCTGAGGCTTTGGAGCCCGAGATGACAACATCCCCTGCGTCCTCGAAATCCTCAAGCCGCTCCTCGAGGAAATCGAAGTCTTTCGCGTATGCGGACCACAACGGTCGCTTATGTCTGCTGAACCACCCGCGCACCACCCAAGCACCATAGCCACGACTTGCCACCACGGCTTCGTCTCGGCAAGACACGGGGCCGGGTAAATCCTCACCCGCACGGTACTTGGCAAACTGAGGCTCGTAAGTTCTCGCTGGGAAAGCCTCGCGCCGAAACTCGAGCGGCGGCAGAACCGTATTATACAAAATGAGTTGGCGATGCATACATATATATATATATATATAGAAATATAAGGGGAGAGAGAGAGAGAGAGAGAGATAACACACAAATGAGTAACACATCGAGGGGTGGTACGAGCAACATACAAGGGCCCTTCAAGAACATGCAACTGTGGCCTTACATCGTGGTAGGTTCTGGAATAAATTTGCTTGCGGGCGGGTCATGAACCGTCATCGAACCGGGTCGAGTCGAATTCTCCCCCTCCCCCCTCCCTCTCCCCTTCTCCTTCGCATTCTCCGTGTGCCGCCTCCATCCTCCGTTCCGCTTCTCGCCATCTCTGCGTCCCTGCGCACCAGGTGGAGGCCTGCTGGCTCCACTTTGGAAGGATCCGCCCCTGGCTTCACGCAGTAGGGCACCCTTCCGTCCAACACCTGCATGTCGCAGGAGGGGAGGGGGGGTGTTGGGGGAGGGAGGGAGAGGGACCGAGGGAGGAGAGGGCGGAAAGAAGACTGGGAGAATATGGATATGCATTTTAAAAATGGGACAGCGGAAACGGGAGGAGGAAGGAGGGGAACTCAGAGGAGATGTGGGAGAAAGGGGGGGGGGGCGGGGAAGCGCTACCTGGCGTAAGAAGAATTGGCCGGGCTCCGCAGGCTGTTCGGCGGTAAGAGGTTAGAGCCCCAATAAGACCCCAGTCGTAGCGTCCCACCCACACTGTCACGTGCACAGGGTCCCACCTGGAGGATCCCTCCAGCAGGGTCCCCCCCCACGTGCCCTGCCCAACAAGTCACATCTACAAGGTCCCGACCAGAGCTACCCAGACAGTCCCGCCCGTAGTGTCCCAGCCAAGCTCAACCCAACAATTAGTGCGGCTCCCATACGTAGTCCCACATCTAGTGCCTGGGTTGCACTCGGCGGGCCTCCAAAGTTGTATTTCCAACCCAGCATCAGATGCACCCCATCTAGTGCACCTCCAGAAGTCGCACATCGCGATCGCGACGAGAGGAAACTGAGTGAAGCCCATACGCGGGCCATAGTGTTGCGTGTGGCTCATAGCGCTCACAGATTGCGTCAGTGGCGATACGCTACAGGATGACAACCCGAAGTTACAGCGACCTCTTCGTCAAGTCCAAGATGACGGCACAAGCACCCCTGGTTTGAACAGGTGAGTATTCGATGCTGTGCAAAAAGAAATGCATATGTTCGCCAGCGTGGATGTTGATCCGTGGGTGCGTTCTGCAAGGTGATCTGCAAGGTGAATGATATTTATATATATATATATATGTATACAGATAGATAGGTGGTGTGTACTGCGAGCTGAATTAAGCTATGCAGCGTCACACATGTGGTGCAATGTATGGTGGTGAATGCTAAACGATGTAAACTACGTGGAGCAATATATCCGGTATAAGCTCTATGGTGCAGGCTATGCGGTGCAATGTAGACGATGTGGTGTGAGCAATGTGGTGTGTGCTAAGTGGTTCAATCTAGGTGGTGCCGCGTATGCAATGAAATACGGTGTGAGGTAAGTGACATAAGTTATGTGGTGCGGCATCTAAGGTATGATATATGATATTTAGGTTATGTGGTGTAAGCAACTATGTGGTCAATAGGCGCAAATAAACAGGCCTCATCGTGCTGCAACTCCCTGACATCGGATAGGAGTCTTGGGGACCTTGTTAAGGCTCTTACAGGTTCGATGGAAGGGCAGCTCGGGCCGCGCTTGAGACAACATATCCCAATCCCCCTCCACTCGTCCCTGCCCCCATCCATGCTTCCATTCTTGATATTGGGTCTGTGTTTTCTCTGGGTCTTTGAAATGCTAGGGCAGGGAGGGTAGGTGGAGGGAGAGGATGTGGCTAACCGTCCCCTCCGGGGGCGCCCCTTCTCAGGCTGCTGGGGGAGGTCGGTTCGCGGTCGCTGGGGTTGTGTAATCCTGTTCGGGCTCAGGCGGCTTAGGTGAATATGATTATGGTTTCACTGCTCGTGTTGGGGGCGGAAGCGTTCAACCCTCCGCGTCACACATTGGGACGGTTGGGTCCTCGGACCCAGCCCCAGCAGGGGTGGCGAGGAGTGGAACCGGCGACGCCCGTGGTCCAGGCGAGCCGTTTTCAGGATCCTGGGAAACGGGCCGCTGTGGCACTTGCGAAACGGACCTAACGATATCAGACGGTAGTCCACAATGCCAGCGTAGGAACATGCCTCGCAAGGAGGCGCGGAACGCAAAACAGAAAATATGAAGGCTAGGAACCGGTCGTAGGCGTCGTATACTCTAGCGTTACTTCAACGGCAAAAGAAGACGTGCAAAGACACCACCAAATACTTGCTTGGAAGGACTTGGAGGAATACCCGGCGCAATGGGGCAAGTGATCAAGCTATGACTGCCGATTGCATGTTCACACTCCTCCGTAGGTGGCACTGCACTTTGGCCTGCTGTCTGCTTTCGATTTTTCCCCACCATACTGTGGTGTTGGGTCCTCGTTTTGAAGAGACGGTCCCCGCGTTCCTTCCCTCCCTCCCTCCTTCCTTCCTTCCTCCTCCCCCTCCTCCCTCCTGCCATCCCTGCCAGCTGCCGCGACAGCTCGAGGCGTGTCGATTCGGGTGCTGCGACACTTGCAGCGACGACTGCTAGAGCGCGCGCGGCCACGGGCGGCGCGGCCATCCGCGCCCCCGATCCCGCCTGGCACCGGCGCCAGCGGCGGCAGCGAGCCTGGGCTCGCACGCTGCTGCGGCTGGGCGCCGCCGCGGGCCTGCTGGCAAATCACCACAACAGCGAGCAGCCCGCCGCCATGGCCAAGGGCGACAAGAAAGCAAGGTCATCGTCGGCCCCGCGGCAGGGGGACGGATCGACATCGCGCATCTGTAAGGGCCGCGATACCCAGAACTTCTCCAGCCGCACCGCATGCCGAAGCTGCGGGAGAAAAAGAGGCCGCTGCCGCCGTGGAAGGCAGACGGCATCCCGAGCGCCACCATGGACGTCGCAACAGGCAGCGGACAAGGGCCCCATGGGCGTCCTGCCGCTGCTTCCCATGAAGGCCAAGAAGCACAAGGCGTGGGTGCAGCCGCCCCCGCTCGCCGGTGGACTCAAACAGCTTCGATAATCCCTGCGCAAGGCGCTGCGCACGGCAGAGGACAGAGTCACAGCGATCAGAGCACTGCCAGAGCCAGGTCTGAAGAGGTTGGACCAGGCCGAGCGAGAGTACGCCGCCATCCTCTGCCAGGTCATCATGGCCAAGGACCCGGAGCAGAGGCAGGAGCGCCAAAAAGCATACGTGAGCAAGGAAAGAAGTTGCTCACTGCCGCTCGGGACACAGAACTTGCAACACAGATGAGGCTGAAGGCGGCGGAGCTCGACACCGAGAAGGCCCAGAAGGACCTGCAGCACGCCCAGTACTTCCTCAGCCAGATGCGGCAGATGAGCGACTTCTGCGCGTACACCAAGCACCAAGCTGCTGCAGCCCCGCAGCCAGGGCCCAAGGCTGGCCCCTGGGCGGAAGGCATTACAGACAGCGACGATGATCGTGACGAGATCAGCCGCATCGCCATCGACCCATACAACGAGAGCGGGTACATGGACGAATACCAGCCAGGTGACACCGTCGTGTCTGGCTCCTCCAGCAGTGCCACAGCTCAGGCGAGGCAGCAGAGCCGCATGGCAGCGATGGAGACGCATATCGGCGAGATGCCCCAGCGCATGGCACAGCTCATGGCCGTCCCGGAGCAGACCAAGGGCATGCCAGCGGCAGCGCGGCCGCCAGCTGCCGCCGTGGCCGAAGGCTCCCATGGCACAGGAGGAGATGACTCAGCCAAGGCAGCCAAGCTGGACGCGAAGACGAAGGCCGCAGAGGAGGCCAAGGCCAAGGCAGCAACGACCAGGGCGCAGATGCAGAGCATGTTCCAATCTGGAAAGCGCACAACAGTTGACGAAGAGCGCAGCAAGATCCGAAGCCGCAGCCCGGTGGACAAGCGCGATGCTGGAGCTGCAGCATCGTTGGCAGGAGAGGCGGCAGCCTCAGGCGCGGCCGCAGAGGCCGAGGAGGATGCGCAGCTTTGACGGTTGCGGGGCCCCGCCGCAGCCCGCGCGGCCTGCGACGAGGATGGCGGGGCCCCTGCGCCGCTGGCAGTACCACTACCAGCTCTTCCTCACCAAGGGCGGCCTGTTCGTACAGTGCCGCTGCCAGACGGCCGCCAGACGCTGCTAGCGCTACGAGCGGCGGGGCCGTTCCAGCTCACCAAGCTCGAAGGAGGATCCAGCCTAGAGCAATACTTTCACTCGGCCACGCAGCTGCTGATCGCAGACTGCATCGCCGACCAGCCTCCAGGGACGCCGCTGCGGCACGCGCCTCGACATCTACACGGATGACTCAGGAGGCGCCACAAAAAGGATACATCCCTGGGCCACCTTCCTGGGCCTTCATCGCCACGGATGTGCAGGGGAAACGCCCCGTGCTCGGGCATCTCGGGCAAGCCATGCCAGGGCTTGCCGATCTTTTCCACCAGCCCTCCATGGCGGCCGAGCTCTGCGCGGGAATTGCGGCGGTGCTTTGGTCGGTGCAGCTGCACCGCGCCCTCGGCGTGGAGGACGGGGTGGGCTTCCCGCAAATCGTCGTACGCACCGACTGCCAGTGCGTTGTGGACATCGCGCAAGGAGGCGCATCCCTGGCCACCTGCAGGCCGCACTCCATCGCCCTCGACGGCCTCGCGAAGGCCCTGAGGCACATCACCGTCTACGACTGGCAGCACGTGCCAGGCCACGTAGCCGACGGGTGGAGCGAGCTCGCGGACACCATCGCGGCGCTCGCCAGGGGCGCCATCATAGAGGCCCAATGCAGCGACCAGGTCTGGGACCAGCTGTTCGCCCGCCTCCAGGAGGTCCCGTGGCTATGGCTAGCGGCTGCCCCCCCTAACGTCCGCTCCCTTTTTTCCTTCTCCTGGAGGCGAGGTCCCCAAGTTGGATCCGTCGGTCCACGGGCTCACGCAGTTTCTTGAAAGCCGACTGTCCAGGGCTCCTGCAGAGGGGGAAGGGGGCAACCGCCAGCCAACATAGCGCTCGAGCTCACCGTGGCCAATGTCCTCAGGCTTGACGCCACCAAGGAGCGAGAGGGCAACGCCAAAGCCTTCGCAGGGGTGATGTTCCCGGGCCGGGTGCGCGCGCTGGAAGGTCAGTTCGGGCTCTTCGGGTGCCGCTTGCTTCATCGGCACCCAAGCTACGAAGGTTGTCTCCCCACCGACGTTATCCCCAGATGACAAGGTGCCCCCCTTTCTCCGTCAGCACGGTCTCGGTCCCAGTGCGACCTCTGATCGCGCAGCACACACACACACTTGCACTCGTAGGAGTAGAGGAAAAAGGGTATGGATCTCAGGATGGAAAGGATGGTGAGTGGCTGAGGATTAACAACAAGTGAATAGAAGAAGTATGGCCTTGAGCCAA